AGCTGTGGCTGCCCCATCCCTGGAAGTGTTCCAGGCCAGGTTGGATGGGGCTTGGAGCAACCTGGGATAGTGGAAGGTGTCCCTGCCCATGGCAGGGGGTGGAACAAGATGATTTTTAAGGTCCCTTCCAACCCAACCCATTCTGGGATTCTATGAAATCAGAAGTTCAGAGTAAGAGGTTGGCTGCTGTGCTGCTTTTTAAATAAAAGACCATTCCCTTTTTCTTGGCTATGGATCATCTGACGGAAGAGCGTCTGCAAAGATATCTTGGGAATAAATGAGTAACTTCTTCAAGCCTTCAGGCATTTTGCTCTGTTACCAGCTATCAGCATCATTTTATGAAATTTGTGAACTAACATGGTTTGTAACTCTCCAGTTTTTAATGTAGAATTTGTGAATGCCACACAAGTGAAACCAGTAGCGTGAGATTAAAAAACCCACGACAATAATCCTAAATATGTTAACATATCCCTGGAATATACTCACTTAAGCAAGGATGAATACCTGTGAAAATAAGGATTTGTTATTTATTATTTTAATCAGAGAAAGGCAAGCCAAGCACATTTTATTTATGGTGAATCCTAAAGCGTCTATTTTCAGGCCATTACTTCTCGTCTGGAAAATAGCAATATGTCAAAATTCTTTCTAAGATACGTTTTGCATCTGTGCCTGAGTGACTTTTTTCTTTAAAAAAATCATAAATTATAGTTATTTCTGTGTGTTTCAATGTATAGATTTAAATAATTGTTGCTCTGAGGTCTGTATTTCAACATCCATTTGTATCGGAAAGGAGTGGAATTCTCTGCCTGTTTAGATGAGGATTTGTTACTTCACTTGGTGATAATTTAGCAGGGGAGTAGAGGGATTTGCCATCTAATAAAATAACACAAAATATTTATTTTTGAAAGGCAGAAGAAGAAAAAAAATTATAAAAACAACTTTATAGCAGAACAGATAAGCAAGTGTATAGCAGGTCTGTGTGCTGGGGGTTTGCATGTGAGTGTAACCACATTGCCTGGAAATTAAACCACAGTTTTCTTTAGCATTTTATCAAACTGTTGATCAGAATCAGTGGGGGATGGGATGTGATGTGGTGCCACTGGCTGTAAATGGGATGTGTTGCCCTGGGAATTGTTCCTGTGAGCAGGAGATTGATGTGACATTGCTGCTGTAAAATAATGAAAGAGAGGATAACTGCACCTCTGACAGTGTTTGTTTGGGAACATCGGGCTGGATTGGCTCTGAAACTGTAGTGGAAAGCATAAAAATTAAATGTTTTAGTAGCTACAGAGTTTGTAATCAAACAAACTTGAGTCAGTGGTGTGTGGTATTACCCAGCTCTGTAAGGTCAGTGTGTCCGATGGGAGGGCCCTGCTCAAAACACCAGGAAATGGAATTGCTGCTTGATTTGATGTCAGTGAGGGGACAGGTAACAAAAATTGGTTAAAACAAAGCTTTTATGCACTTCTACCAGACTGGATTTTGCAAGGCATAGGGAAGATCCACACAGAGTTGGGTTTTGGTTTTCTCAAAGACCAAGTGTTTGGCTGTGGGTCATTCAGGCAGAAGAGAAGGCTCTGGGGAGACCTTGGAGCCCCTTCCAGCACCTAAAGAGGCTCCAAGAGAGCTGGAGAGGGACTTGGGACAAGGGCCTGGAGTGACAAGACAAAGGGGAATGGCTTCCCCCTGCCAGAGGGCAGGGTCAGATGGGATATTGGGAAGGGATTCTTGGTTGTGAGGGTGGTGAGGCCCTGGCACAGGTTGCCCAGAGAAGCTTTGGCTGCCCCTGGATCCCTGGAAGTGTCCAAGGCCAGGCTGGATGGGGCTTGGAGCAACCTGGTCTAGTGGAAGGTGTCCCTGCCCATGGCAGGGAGTGGAACTGGGTGATCTTTAAGGTTCCTTCCAACCCCAGCCATCCTGGGATTCTGTAAGTTTGGGACTATTCTGCCAAAGGCTGGATCATGTCCTGAAAACCTCCCCCAACATGAGGGGAAACCTCCAGATCTGAGTAAAATTAGGTTTTACATTTCACAAGATTTTGGATGACACAAAGCTGGCACGGCTTTTAGGAGCGCAAGCTTGAAGCTTTTCCCAAAAGCTTTGGCAGAATAGCAAGGCTGCACTATTTTCTCCAAATCCCTGTATTTGGCTTTAGAAAGAAGACTTCTAGTTAAAAAAGAATCCCCTGTGTTAGTTTGTCTGTGAGTAGCTTTAATAAGAACCTGAACCCTTTCAAACAGAAGGAAGCCCTGTAGCTGTTGGTTGAATTTGAAGATGGAGATGTCTAATAGCTATTCCTCCATAATATTTCCAGCTGCCACTGATATGTAAATAGTTTGAATGGCTTTTTCCTGTGCTGTTAGGACCAGGTTATTTACCCTTTCCTTCAGCTGAAGTAATTATTTCTGTGTAGAATTCTGTGCTTTATTCATACAGTATTCCTATGCTTTCACTGCTTTTAAGTCAAGCAGCTTTAGTTTGCTGCTTGGCCAATTTTCTGCTGAATTTAGCTGGTTCTGAACTCAGGGTGTCATGGTTTAACCCCAGCCTGAATCTAAGCACTACAAAGCCACTTGCTCACTCTCCTCCCCCCCACAGTGGGATGGGGAGCAGAGTTGGAAAAAGGTAAAACCTTTTAATAATTATTAATCATTTAATAAATATTCAAATAATACGTTGATTATTCATTATTTAATAATTGTTGTTATTTTGAAGAAATAATAATAATGATAATAATAATGATAATAATAATAATGGGGGAACAAAAACCCTGTTGGAATAACTCTGGGTCAGCTGTCCTGGCCGTGTTCCCTCCCAGCTTCTTGTGCAGCTCCTCGCTGGCAGAGCATGAGACACTGAAAAGTCCTTGACTCAGGGTAAGCACAGCCAAAACAACCAAAATATCAGTGTGTTATCAACACTGTGCTCATCCTAGATCCAAAACACAGCACTGTACCAGCTACCAGGAGGAAAATTAACTCTATCCCTCCTTCACGAAGAGAAAGTTAAGCTGACTTGGCAATACCAAGGAATTGTTGGCATTTCCAAAGAATAGGTGTGTTTCTCTTTTTGGTTACTCAGGGAATTCCAGAAATGTTAATGTATTCACTGAATTTTTATCTTCTTGATAATCTAGAAATTTCCTGGGCTGAAGTTGGGCTCTCACATAAGTGTCCTCAGAGGGCTGTTGTGTGTGGGGGTGGCAGGGAGGGCTCAGGTCAGCTCAGGCCTTAAATCAACCCTGATTTAAGCAGATCCTCTTGCTGATTTATTTTTTTTCCCCCTTATGATGGAGAGGACTTTCTGCTTTATTTAAACCTTTGCTGTCTTGCTGGATGAGAATCCAGGAGATTAGGAGTGCAATCACACCAGGCTTTAAAAATAGAGATGCTGAGCAGTTGTATTTCTTGACTGTTTGGTCAGGCCATCAGTAACTGCTTTGGAAGAAAGGATGTAAAGAATGCTACTTCCTTCTTCCCCCTTTTTTTGTCCCCTTCCCCCCTTTTTTTGTCCCCTTCCCCCCTTTTTTTGTCCCCTTCCCCCTTTTTTTGTCCCCTTCCCCCTTTTTTTTGTCCTCTTCCCCCTTTTTTTCTTCCCTTCTCCCTTTTTTGCCCTTTTTTCTTTCCTTTCCTCCTTTTTTATCCTTTCCCCCTTTTTATCCCTTCCCCCTTTTTTCCCCCTTCCCCCTTCTTTTTTTCCCCCTTCCCCTTCTTTTTTTCCCCCTTCCCCTTCTTTTTTTCCCCCTTCCCCTTCTTCTTTTCCCCCTTCCCCCTTCTTTTTTTCCCTCTTTCTTCCCCCTTCTCTTTCCCCTTCCCCCTTTTTCCCTTCCTTCATCAGAAAGTGTCAGTTAGTGAAAAGTGTTTTCACTGCCTTCTTCAAAAATGTGGTACATTATTGTTCTGCTTTTTTAGTAGTATAACAGGCTTTTCTTTTTCCTGGAAAAAAATATGATAAAGAAGAAGAAATAATTGTCTTTGTAGAAAATGTTTATTTCAAGGCAGTAATTTTCATACACCTTTCTGGCTCATCCTCCTCCTTTTCAAGGGGGCTGGAAACCCAGCACTGCTGCCCCTTGGTTTTATTTAGTTTGTTGTGCTCATCCTCAAAAATGCTTATACCATTGGGAGCCAAAATTCATGTCAAGGAGATAAAGGCAAATATAACACTTTCAGTTTGGATGCTGAATGATTTTGATAGAATGCATGGATATTTAATATCTTGGTTTTCATTTTGTGCTGATGGATCTTTCACACAACACAAATAAAGTCACATTTTTACAAGACTATAACCCACTATTATTCCTCTTTTCCCTCAAACAGCAGAAAGGGTCATGTATGGTTTGGGGTTTAGGTATTTTAATTTTTTCTCATCCCTTGAGAAAGGTGCATCAATGTTCATGTTCAGATTGGCTGTAGAAATGAAAAGTCTTTTCAAAGTCTCTCCATCTGCCACTGCAAGTTAAAAACACTAGTAAGAGACCTTATTTCTCACCCTCTGAGCTCTCAAGCCTTGCAATTCAGTATGTAAAATTAAAATAAAATTCTCACATTCCAAACCATGTTTTTAATAGTTTCCTTTGTGTTTAAAGGCACTGAACAGTCTTCCTTACATACTGGTTAAATGGTTGATTTCAACTGGTTCTAGATTTCGAGGCAGTGGTGAAATTCTTAATTTTCTATTTTCTGATTTTCTAATTCTTATTTTCTATTTTTGATTTTCACATTCTACCCCAAACCTACCAGGATTGAGAGGTATCTTTGAATTGAATTTAGGTGGCTTATGCTAAGCCCATAGTCTGATAAATTTAAACTCTTTTGAGCATGTAATATACAGAATTTTTCATTCTGTGAGAGTTTAAGAAGTACTTCAGGGAATCACCTACATAGTAGGGATTGAAAAATAGCACTCTAGGAAGTGTGTTGTTCCTGGATGCATTGGTTTATTTGCTAAAAACACCAACAGCAATCTTTACAGGAACATGTTCCTTTCTGTTTTTATAGGATGCGAGATACTGCCAGAAAAGTGGAAGAAAAGTATTTTTCCAACCTTGCAACACATGTAGAATTCCTTCCAGTGGAATGGAGATCAAAACTGACCCTCGATGGAGGTACTTTGCTTGGTTCTCTTGCTGTTGCCAGTAGCTGCAGTCTGCAAAATCCTCCTCAGAACTTTCAGCCTTTGTTCTCTGCCTGTGGCTTGCTTGGATTTTTCTTTGGTTTTGTTTGCACATCCCAACCCTTGAAGTGTTCCAGGACAGGTTTGGAGCAGCCTGCTCTAGTGGAAGGTGTCCAGGCTCATGGCAGGGAGATGGAACCAAATGGGCTTTAAGGTCCCTCCCAACCCAAACCAGTCTGTAATTCTATTTTAACATTCTCCTGTGTGTAAGTTAAGTCTCCTTTTCTTTTTTCCCAGACACTGTGGACTCCATTACCCCGGATAAAGTCCGAGGTTTGCGGGATATGCTGAACAGCAGCGCCATGGATATCATGTACTACACGAGTCCTCTGTACAGAGATGAAGTAAGTGTGTAAAGCCTGGTTTTATGTAAGTTTTGCTAGAGCAGGGCTTGGAGGCTGGACTTGGGAATGTCAGCCCAGTTTCCTTCTGAGAAACCCTGATGTGAAGGATGTTAACACTTTGTAGGAGCGGAATGGTCATCCACAGTAGTCAAATACAGAGTTTTAAAAGTGGTGGGAGTAGAGAAGCCAGAAAAGGGTGCAGTGTAATTTATTTAGAGCAGAAATGTCTGTCTAAAACGGTTCTGTATCAACAGCTTAGAAATAGAAAGGATTCCCACTGTGTTTTCAATAATTTCTGCGTATTTAGAGCAATGGGAGTCCACAGAGCTGAGATTCTTCTTACCCCTCACAAAATCGTTGGACATTTGTCATTTCCTTTTTGTCAGATGGGATGGCAGCACGTGCAAATATGCCCTAGGCAGTTTTAATGCATTTGTGTACACTTGGCCTTGCAGGGAAGGCAAAATGATTCACAATTACTCAGTGTATTAGGGGACTGTGTATTTTTTATTTATCCAGTTTATTCTGGATGCTCCTATCTTGCCTTGCCACATCTCTGTAGCAGCATGTGTGCTCTAGTCTGTGCAGCTGTAAAGTGACCCAGTGAATCAGAGGGGAAAAGCCTCAAATAAATGATAGTAGCCTTTGATAATGATAACCCTTGAATAAATGACAATAAAATACAATAAATAACTAAATGAAGTAGCCTGTAGAACATGCACAGTGCATCACCCCAGTAACATCCCTCATGTATCACACTTACTGGAAAACCCGTGGGGCTGTTTTAGGATTAATTTCTGTAGGAATTGTAGTTTTTTTCTGTATTGGCTGCATTATATATGGAATAGTTAATCTTTTGACAATCTTGGTGCCCTGAGCATGGTTAGACTGGGGCAGGGTGAGATTTCAAAGCTTACAAGGTGTTTTGATGCTACTTTTCAGTAAAATTAGGTGTGTTTAAGTCCTTTAGACTGTCAGTTTTAAAACTGAAAGCTCTCTTCCTGCTCAGTAATGCAGAGTTCATTGATCAGGGTTCTCCCCTGTGTCTCAGGTTTCTCTGCCTGTTGTGTAACTGAGGCCAACATGAGCTATTGTGGCAAGTGACGAAAATTTCCCTGGCAGCTTTAAAACAGATATTTTTAAACTGCATTAGAGGCTTGGCGTGTCTGTGGACATCTTATGGGAGACGGATTAGTGAGTGAAGTTCAGGTGTGCTGGCCAGCAATGCATGAAAAACTTAATTCACTGCTTGGTAGAACTGTAGTTTTACAGGTTTATCACCATCCCTTGGGTGTGAGAATTGACAAATAAAATGAATGTGCTGTGGCTGTGCTTAGATCTGGTTATGGAATACTAAGCTGTGTTTTTCATCAAATCAAGTGAATTTTCTTGAAGTGTTTGCAACAACATACCCAAGGTACTCTTCCTTATCCCATTTTTATTTTCTCTGACCTAACTTTGCAGAGTTTAACACAATAGTATCAAATGGAGTTGTTTTGTGGCACTTTGCTCTGAGTGCTCATTCCAGCTCAGAAATGAGCCTTGTCTTCAAGTGTTCACATGGTCACACATTGCTCAGAATTAATGTACCTGCTCAGCACTTTGTTACACTCACACAATTCTTTGTGTACCGTGGGCACTTCTGGTGCTTTCCATCCAGAAATCCTGAAAGTATCTCGAAAGTTATTAAGCTTCACTTTGCCTCTGTGAAATAAATTGAGCAATGTGGTGAGCTCAGCCTAGAGAAGGGTAAAACTACTGTTCACCTCATGACACTTGGCAGTCATCAGATCCCAGAGTGGTTTGGGTTGGAAGGGACCTTAAAGATCATCTCGTCCCACCCCCTGCCATGGGCAGGGACACCTTCCACTAGCCCAGGTTGCTCCAAGCCCCATCCAAGCTGGCCTTGAACACTTCAGGGATCCAGGGGCAGCCACAGCTTCTCTGGGCATCCTGTGCCAGGGCCTCACCACCCTCACACACAAGAATTTCTTCCTGATATCCCATCTAACCCTGCCCTCTGGCAGTGGGAAGCCATTCCTTTTGTCCTGTCACTCCAGGCCCTTGTCCGAAGTCCCTCTCCAGCTCTCTTGGAGCCCCTTTAAGCATTGGAAGGGGCTCTCAGGTGTCCCTGGAGCCTTCCCTTCTCCAGGTGAACACCCCCAACTCTCCCAGCCTGGCTCCAGAGCAGAAGGGCTCCAGCCCTTGGAGCATCTCCGTGGCCTCCTCTGGACTTACTACAGCAGCTCCACATCCTTCTCGAGCTGGACACGGCGCTCCAGGTGGGATCTATGGGATCCTGGCAGAGGGAGAATCCTTCCCTTGACCCTGCTTCCCACGCTGCTGGGGAGGCAGCCCAGGACACGTTTGGCTTTTGGGGTTGCCAGCACACATTGCACAACACTTGGATACAACTTTCCTTTCTCCTTTCAAGAATTTTCCCCACATCGAGAAGTACCAGAAGTGCTTCTTTAAAGCTTCTTAGCACTCTTCAAACAGCTCCTTAAGGGATTTGCAGGTGGGCAGAGTGAGAGGCAGCCACTCTCTCCTTTCAGGGGGAAGAGTCCTTGTTCATATCGTTTTCACACAGGGCAGCAAAGAGCTGTCCCAGAGGCACTGGATGGCTCAGCTGAGCCTTCCAGGAGCGTGGTGGGTTGACCCCCTCTCTGATTTCAAGTATTGTTTCTTCTCCAGCACGGTAGGAGAGTATCCAAAAAGTTCCTCTGACTCCTGACATGCGACGTGATACCAGACAGGCATTAATAATTCAGCACAGCCCTATGAACACTTCAGACAGTCTGGTCTCAGACTGCAGCCAACAGATTCAGCCGTGGCAGTTTTGTGTGGCTGCAAGTTGTGCTGTTCAGGTCCTCACCCATACCAAATCCCTTTTTAAACATTATCAGATAAGAAGGAAAAGCAATAAGTTGATGTTTTGCTGCAGACCTACCTATTTCTAAATGAACAGTCATTTCACATTCTGCTTCTGACCTTGCTGGTGCCATCTGTGGTAACCTAATCTTGGGGTTTAGTGTCTTCAGTGGGCGACTTCGTTTCACATCTGTGTCACTGTAGCTTCATATTTCTTTAATAATGAATGGGTGTAACAGAGATTAAAAAGACTAATTGATGCATGGTAAATTCAGTGTTGTCACCTTCATTATAGTGCTAAATGCTTTTTTTTACTGATCTTCGCTGTACTCACTTGCAGGCTAATTGAAATTCTGCAAATTATTGATATATGTCATGGCAGAAAATGCCTGTAGTACAGGATAAATATTATTTACATCAGTCATCCCAAAATCTCTATAAAGATTTGGTGCAAATACTGTAGTAGCCTCAGATCAGTAGGAGATGGTTTTGGATTACTTCCTTCTCAGCTGAAGAGCAGGGAAACTTCATTGTCCACCTTAGAATCATGGAATAGGAAGGGACCTTAAACACCATCTTGTTGCACTCCCTGCCATGGGCAGGGGCACCTTCCATTAGACCAGGTTGCTCAGAGTCCTGACCTTGAAATGGCTTCATGATTTACCATTAAACACATATTAAAAAGGAGAATTAATGACCATACTCTTGAAATTTAGGGCACGTGTTAACTTATAGCAGAACTTTCATCCCTCTTGCCTATGAGGTTTTGCAATGGGAATATCCTTTCTTTGTGTATCCCTTTCAGCAACTAAAGGGAACTGTTTTAGGAGTGTTTGGAAACAAGATGTGGAGCAGGAAATTTTAAACTGAGACTATTTAACACTAGCTTTGCTTATTTTGTTGAACCTAATAATGAAGATGCTGCTTGGCAGCACTTCCATGGCTTGCTTAATTAACTGGATTGTCCTTGACTGAATTCTCAGCTTTATGAAGTGATAGGTTAATGGCTCTGCCTGAACCTAACAGTGACTTGTTAGAAATGGGTTAGACTCAGCTTTTCAGCAGCAAGAGTGGTCCTGAGAGAGAGACTTGGGTCTGGACAGACCCACAGATCCTTTTTCTGTTCCATCACTAAAATACACGGCCTTTCCCATCTGTTCCCACAGCTCCCGCTCATTCTGGCCTCTCATCTGTTGTTGTGACAATCCCCTGGCATCCTTCAGTGATGCCATCAGGGAGTGTGACAACTGCTGTATCCTGAGGGTCAGCAGCCTCACCAGCTCTGCCTCATGTGTTGGCATGTTCTCCTGGTTCACGTGGAACAAAAACTCCTTGTCTTCGCTTTCCCGGTCCTTTACAGTCCATCCTTGAGCTGCAGCTCTTCTGTTGGCTTTTAAGGGCCCTCTTCTCTCCCCAGTTGGCTCACACACTGCCTGCTTGCTGAATTTCAAATGAGTTTGCACTTTCTCCTGAAGTTCTCTTGACATTTGGAAAGGGCTGCTTGCAAAACTAACTGTTCCTCAGATCTCCTTGAAATTCCTTTCCCACAAAGGTACAAAAACAGAGTCATGCTGTTCAAGCTGGAGGGGGTGCAGAGGTCGTGTTTCCTGCACTCTCTTTTCATTGGTAGCTTTCTGTTATTTTATTTCTCTTAGGGTTCAAACTGTTCATGTGGGAAGACAGTCCAGTGGGTGAGGGTCCTGTGGAGATGGCATGGAGAAAGGAACTCTGAGAGTTACAGCAAAGGGATGGTCAGAGCTGAGAGCAGCCTCAGGAGAGGGCAATCCACATAGCCCAAGAGGAGAGGAAGTTTTTTTGTTGGATTTGACGGATCAGAAAGGTTTGGACTGGAGTGCATTGTCCAGGTTTTGGCAGCAAGTGCCAGGGGAGGCTCAGGCTGGATATTAGGAAAAACTCCTTCACTGAAAGGGTGGTTAAGCAGTGGAACAGGCTGCCCAGGGAAGTGGTGGAGTCGCCATCCCTTGAAGTGTTCAACAAACAAGGAGATGTGGCACTTCACGATATGGTTTAGTGGGCATGATGGTGGTGATGGGTCAGGGGCTGAGCCTGACGATCCTGGAGCTGTTTTTCCAACCTTAATGATTGTGTGAATGAGGATTTGAGCAAGA